TAAAATGCCAACGGAACACATTTTAACTTAGGTACAGACCTTATGCTGTTGGTAATTGAGCAGCAATTGATTATAAATGATGGACGCACGGTACGACCGTGTCAAAAAACAGTAATAGGCTAGCAATTAACCTGCTTGCTGCAGTAGTTCTGACAAGCTTCTGAGTATTATATATTCCTATGTAATAAACCAAGAGATTTGGTCCTTATATTTTCTCATTTATTGTCCAACAATTATAAATTTATCAGCATCAGCAGTCTCTATCTAGATCCGACTCTCCCTCATTGGTACAAATCGCTAATTGCGTGACAGGCTTAATAGTTGCCACATTCTTATATTTCAGAATGATTTATTATGATTATATACTACAAGCAGTCGTGTTAAATCTTTGTTAAAGCTCAGTGTCATTTACCTTCAGGATCTTAGTGCTTCGGTCACTTCGATTCGTGTCCATCTGGCCTGTCTCTGTATGGTTGAAACTTATTGGAGTCCACATCAATCCGCGTCAATATCACCAAAAGGTCGTTTGCTGACCTTCAGATCGAGTCCGCCCTGCCCCGACAGACATAATTCGTCCTGGACTACAGTCACTCTAGACTTCAGAGCTGAAACTCTAAACAAAGACCTGGATCGAATTCTTGGCCAGTTGACAATGCTCGCCACATTGATAATGCAATTTAAGGGTTTCGCACCAACTACATCCACTCCCAATATACCAGACTTCACTCCACTCAGCATCAACAATTATTCTGAGCCTCATTCAAACGTAAGCCTAACTGAAAGTAAAGCAGACCCGTCAAGTTCCCGCCGTCTCATACTTCTAATATTAGCCATTCTTGCCGTGCTTTTTATTTTACTTTATTTTATTCTCGCTTGTCGGCACTCAGAAATATCAACTATTTTTACTGAAGCGATATTTGAATCCCAAAACGATAGTCTTCGAACCTGTCCTATAAGAAGGCAGAGCCAGTTATCTAGGTGGCCATTTCCACACTTCATTCGATGGGAACTGATTGGGAATTCAAACTCCGCATGGTAGAAATACATTGGGATGTGTGAAATCTTCTTAAAAACCCGATTTCAATTTAAGCTTACATCTGTACATTGTAAATCCGAATACAATTTTCACTTCATAAACTTTCTTCTTTCACTCGGGAATCGGAAACGCAATATCTCG